AGGAAGTCTGTCCCCACTGGCTCCAGATATTGTACATACATGCACAAGTCCATTTAATTTCTTATTTAGACCCCCAGTGGACATAGTTTTAGTTATTCCTAAGCTATCAGTGAAGAGATGCCAAAATGCCCAACGAGTTACCTGACAACCCCTCCTTGCCTCTTTCCTCTTACCATCGTGCCCTGCACTCAGTACAGCAGATCTGGACCCCAAATCAGGCCTGCTGTGTGCAAGTAGGATACTACTGCAGGAGGTGGGTGGCTATTGGAATATGCCACTTAATGATGCTACCTGTTTCCTTCGTTCCAGTGTTTAAGAAAAGGATCAGACAAGGTATCTATGTTTTCTCAAGCTTTCAGGCCATTTGAGTTTGGCAAACTTTTCCCTGTGCAATGCCTTGAGAACTTTGTAAATAAAAGAGGGCTATTGTAGAATTTGCTTCCTTTACTGCATTGGGAAAAGCAAACTTCTCAATAAACTGGTTTATTCTCTATGCCTGGATGTTCTCTTTCCACTTCATTCTGTCTTCTATATTTGTTTTTCTTTTTTCTAGATACAGGAAAACATTTGCTCTTCCCAAGGTTGGTGAAAGTACCACAGAAGTTTCATGTGGCTCCAGCCATATAAGGATTTACCGAAATGCCTTTGTTTGGCTGCAAAAACAAAGTACATGGAGATGGCTGTTTGTTTATCTAATGCACAGGGTGTGAGAGGGCTAAAGCAGCAAGATTTACATTACAATCTCTGCCCTTCTTTCTCTAGCTCCCACACACCAGAAATAGCCTCAAGGGTGAGAAGGGAGAGGAATATTGCTCACCATTTACTACAAACTTCAACTCCAAGCACTAAGGCTTCCAAGGGGAATTCAAAACCTGCCACCCAGGGGCTAAATTACTGCCCTGTGGAATGAATTCCTTAGTTCAGAGCAGTTTGGGAGGGACAGTAAAAATAGTGCTTTGACGGTGCTGGTCACTGTGAACCAGCTGTACCTGGAGGCATAAAAATTGTTAGTAAAATCTTTTGGTGAAGAAGGCCACCTTCACAGCCTCACGGTTTCTAGCCATAATGCTAAATATTATTTTGTATTACGGTAGGATCACTCAGGGTCCCAGGGATCCTAAGCTTATGCACAGGAAGAGACTGCTCTTGCCCTGAAAAGCTTGCAAACGAAATGCACGAGGCAGAGGGTGAAAGAAAGACTCTCTCATCATCTCGACCTCAGGCTTAAAGAGACTTGCCAGAGGTCAGCTAGGAAATCTGCGACAGAACAAGGAGCTGATCTCCAGTTACAAATGAAACCAGTGCCAAAACCACAGACCTTCCTCTTTTGAGGACTAGATCCTGCAGAGTGCTGAGCACTGGTACTTAAGCAGCTCCACTGAAATTAATGAACCTTCCCATTGCTTAAAATTAAGATTGTGTTTAAATTTCACCTGCTTAAAATTAAGATTGTGTTTAAATTTCACCTGCTCAGTTTAGGCATGTTCTTTGGAAGCCTAAGGCTGAAGTGTTCCTTCAGCACCTGTCAAGAATAAAGTCAAACCATCAAGCGTACTTCCATTGTAATTCATTCAACATTGTTAGGCCTGACCACTAGCCACCTTGCTACTTAGTCAAATTGTAAGCCCCAAGATCCTGGGATACTGCATAGGGACAGCATAAGGAAGGGATCCATAACTGAATACGGAGAGACCAGGAGTAAAAGGCAGAAAAAGGAGCCAACAAAGGGGCATGGGCCTGCCAGTGCAGAAAACCATGATGAAAGCCCACTTTTAAGCACCTGATTTCATTAATTTACAAGCTGGAATTGAAGGCCTTAATTCCTCACCCAGTAAATGAAGAGGCTTTGGCACCCAAGAAAGGGATTCACAATAGCTGCATGCTGAGTGGAAGGACATCCAAGTGAGCCCATGAGAAATGCTGAAGAGAAGGGTGGGTCTGAGATCCTCTCTCTTCCCCAGACTTAGGCTCCTACCTGCAGCAGGAGGATGTGCAGCCTCAAAACATCTTCTGGACTTGGATGTTGCCATGGTATAGATGGCTGCTCTTTCCTTTCTTTTCATCGTCCTTTTTTTTTTTTGAGACCTGGCTGGAAAAAACAATGCCTTAACATGGGGGATGTCAAATCAAATGGAAATATTGTTACATAGTAGCACCTAGGAGTTCACTTTGCACATGACTGTGCCCCAGGTACCAACATGCCTGACTGCAGCTCTGATAGTGAGGGTTCAGGGCCTGCTGCAGAGATTGGTTCTGTTTTTTGCAATTAGAAGTCATAGAAGGAAATGCAGAAACAGGGGAAAGAACCCAGGCCTCTTCTCTCCCATCAGAGGTCCCTCACCCCTGAGCTATGCAGCATGGTGCATCTTGCTTACTCTTTCTGGCCCTACAAAGCTTGCATTCTTGGCTGCATAATGATCCAGCCTCAACTGAAGGATGGGGTTGTGCTGCCCCAGGCCCCTCCTCCACCATCTGCCTGGAGGCACGTGTGCAGCTGACACTGCCATGGAGCCCAGCTGGGGCTCTGGAGCCCAGTGCAACTGTTTGCAGCCTCCCAGCTGCCTTACATAACCAGTCTGGGCTCTAGGCAACTGTGGCAGGTAGCAGGCAGGCTGCAAACAGCTTCACTGGGCTCCAAAGCCCCAGTGCTGGCTCTGTGCCAGTGGCAACTGCATGCATGCCTCAGTGCACAGGGCAGGGAAGGAGCTGAGACAGCACAACCCAGCCCCTTCCCCACCGTCAGCCTGGAGGCACTCATGCAGCCACCACCAGCAATGAGGATCGAACCCTTTGCAGCTCCCCTGTGGTCTGCCCCGGCACACCAAGTCAAGGCATGGGTCAAGGCTGGGGTGTATTTTGGCACTCTAGCCAAAAATGTTGCTAACCCCTGCACTAAGCCATTGAGTAAAAGGTAGATTCACTACCACTACCATCTCCTCCTCCTATGTGTTTGAAAGGAAGTGCCAGTTCCTGCTGTGCTTTGTGCCAAACTTTTTGCTCTCAGGGTGTGCTAGCCATGTTCTAAGCACACCTACCCAATCAGGCGCCTCAGGGGACCTATGTGCAGGGATGTATAGTTTGTAAATCCCCAAATGGCTTTGAGTGTGACATGACAAAAAGGAACATCTTAGTGCCCACGAGGGTACCAGTCCTGGGCATCTACATTTGTTTTCTGGAGAAAATTTGGGCACTTGTCACCTCTCAGGCGACTTATACAGCAGGCAGGAAGGGTTTGTGGATCATTCTCTAGGCATTAGTTACCTAAATTCTGCCTAAGTGGCACTTAAGTTCTCTTTAGGATCTGCCTCCTGGTGCCTAACCATCCTGTGCTCAGGATGTTTACCTTTCCTGGAGTGAGATACCCAGGCCAGGTTTTCCTAGTCCATTTGTGAAAAAACTGGAGAGAGACTCCACTAGCAGCTAGACTATATACTCACGGTAGAAGTGAATAGGGTTCAAATTGGCCTGGTTGGATGAGTGTCTCAACAATCAAGATGGAGACAAAATACCCACCCACTTTTGTATTGCCCCTTCAACCTGGGTCTTTCATAGTTCATGTAACTCTTGAAAAAATAGCCAGAAAAAACCATGACAATTGAGTATGAGGTGTGAGATAGTACTAAATCATGGAAACGCCCTCCCTAATAGCTAAGGGGTTAGGGCACTTGTCTGGGAAGTAGGGCATCTTGGTTTTAGGTTTCCCTCTCACCCAGAAGGATTTTGAACCTACATCTACCCGATTTCTCAGCACAGGATTCAAGTCACCATGTCACAAGTCTGCTGTTATCTGGTCTAGTCTTCAGCATTGCTTTTGAAACTGAGCTACTGTCCCTTGTATATACTAGTCATTGGAGAAAATGAATGGAAAGCAGTACAGTGGGGAAGTCCCTGCCTCATTAAGAGTAAGGGTCCAGACTAGGACCCAGGTGACACATCTACACATGCTATTAAGACAAAGCGATAAAGTCCAGTGCATATCACGCTGAAATGTATTGCTCCTGGGCACTGCATTTATACTTGTGCCCAAGACCACAGCACATTGAGCTGGGCTGGAGCAGCCCTGGCTGGCAAGGGGCCCAGGGGGTCAGCCTCCCAGCCTAGGGCTGCTCCAACCCAGCTTAACGTGCTGAGGAGGGGCTGGCTGGAGCACGAGGGCGCTCTAGTGTAGGGCTAGCCAGCAGGCAGCCCCACTCCCCCCTCACTGAAGCACCCTTGTACTCCAGCCAACCTTGTCAGCATCTACACGTGCATTGCTGTGGAGTAAGGAACTATGCCACAGGACAGTACCTGTATTTACAAGCACTTGTATTTACAAGTACTATTCTGCAGGGGAGTTAATTAGTTTACTCTGTCCTAATAGCACCACATGAGTAGACAGTGACATTTTACTGCAGACCCAATTAGGCAGCTCATCAGTAAACATCTCATGTAGATATGCCCAGAAACTACCACTTTCCCATAGAGCAGTCACCTAACTGAACTACAGACCTTCCACTTTTAGTCTCTTCCTCTTGGCCTCATCTCTGTCCCCTGATCACTGTCCAGGGGACTAGCTTCAAAATGAGGACTGGAGAAGAGTTTGAATAATACCTTATATATGGTATGATGGTTTAAGCACTGTACTAAGAAGTCAGAAAAATGCAGATTCAAATACCACTCAGATATTGGGGTTAAAGCATGGGTGTTTGCACAGCTGCATTTCTCTAACTTAAAAGCACATGTGCATTACTAGTGGGTGTGCATATGAGGTTGGGCAGGTCTGTGGCTAGTGCATAACTTATACATGCACATCTATGCATCCACAGTAATAGATGCTGGGGTAGTAGAATTGCAATTTGTGCCAGGAACACCACTTGTGGGGCTAGAATTATAATTTGAGTCCACAAAGGGAAATAAAAGCCCACCACAGGAGGACTGGACATTGCAGGGAAGAGTGGTGGGTTGGTGAGGAGTTTAAAAATGTTTTAGCTTGAGACAAAACATAGAGCAGCTCAATAGCTGTAGGATGGTGTCAGGGCTTAGCTAGCTCTGTCCATGCCACCGAGACATCAATAAGATTAAGATGGCAACTGAGTGGCATTTAAAGGAATATTAATGGCACCTCAAGAGAGAGACGTAGGCATCTAAATACCTTTAAGTGTCTGAACTTAAGCTCATCTTGCATACATTTGCTGCATGGTCATTAAATCTTCACAATATCTAGACAATATTTCTCAATCCTGCTCTGGTGCCAGATCTGATCTCCTGTATCTACAGCTGGTCTCAATCCATCCTTGTCCTTGTTGCTTAGACTATTAATGAATGTTATCATCATGGGTAGAATTGTCTATGGAAGAACAAAGAATTCTTGCAACATAAACACTCTCTTACTTGCACAAGAAAGAAAAAAAATACAGACCGATGCTGAAGCTCAACATTTTAAGTGGAAACCAAAATACAATAGCTTCATATTTGCCATTTATACTTTCCTTAAGCCATTTTGTTCAGCAGTGTCTGTATAATATAGGCTGAATTACCCTACTCTGGTTCTAACTTTGACAGTGATGAACTACATTCTGAATTAAGATAGCTGCACCATCAAAACTAATTCCACAGTGCTACTGCTATTCAGAAAAAAAGTTGTAATCAAAGCAGATTAAACAGAATATTTGTAGGGCCAGTTCTTCACTTGGAGGCATGTACAGCACAAAGGAATCTAGTCTATGCTAAATACATTGGACATTGTTGTCACTGTTGGAAGCGTCTGCTTATTAGGGCTGTGCAAAACAGCACCGTTTCGTTTTGACTTCCGTTTCGCCATTTCAACGGGACAGCGCTTCATTTTGAGTTTCATTTCATTTCAAAAACACTGTTCCATTTTGTTTCATCAAAACTGTTTCGCTGTTTTGACATTTCACCCATAGGCTATATTGGGGAAGCACATAACTGCCTATAACCTTGTCATTTTTTGGCAGATTTGGATGAAAACAGCAGGGGTATTAGGCCATTCTGAGGGCATGAAGCCTCTTAAGCTTCAGGAGATAGGTGCAGGGATTTCTGAGAAACTGCACCTCAAGCTGCTGACAAGCAAAACTCATGAAGTGTGATTTTGTGTGTGTGTTAAGGCACACCCTCGCTGGCGCTAGGGCCTCTACACAACACAGTACTAGTGTGCCCCAAAGAGGTCTCCTCCTTCCCTACAGCCTCAGTCTGGTTCACTTCAAATAACAACAGGTAAAATAATTTAGTGAGCAGTAGCACAGTAGGACCAGCAGCATCTCAGGCAGCCAAATTGTGACAGCCTTTCTTTCCTCTCCCGCAGGAGCTTCTTCTCCAGCAGCTGCCAGAAAACTCTTCCTGCCAGCCCTGGGGCTTAGATGTACCCAGGACCCTGCATCCTTCTGGTCAGGTGCTAGCAGTGTTGGTCTAAGGACATGACACTTGCAGACAAGGTCCTTTAGGTCAATCTAATCTGGTATCTTTTAGCAGACCAACTGAATAGTTAGTTACAGAAATATATCTTAACAAGGTTTTGGATTGAAAAACCCCTCATCAGGCTGAGGAAGCACCTGCAGTTGGTGTGTGTGCTGTTCCTAGGTGGAAGGAATAGAGAAGAAGCCAGAGGCTGGCATGCAATGCAGGCAAGAAAGCCAGTCAGTGAAAATGGAAATGGCAGAGTGCAGTTTTAGTGGTCGTGCCCAGGACTTTGGGGCCTCCTCCTTCCCCATAGCCCCAGCCCATATCTCCAAGTTCATCCTGACACGGAAGCTCAGCAGGGACACGTTCTTCCCCTGCTGGCTGGTGATGCAGTGAGTGCCCTTCTCCAACTCTGAAAACAGGGCATTAAATGGTTGTTAAAAACTGAAAAAAGGAAATAGGTGTGGATGGAGTGAGGAGGATGGCATTCACTCTGCCTGCACCCGGAGCTTGGAAAACCCTAGCAGTGGGAGGTATCACCTTGAGGAACACCAGCTGCTCCACCAAACCAGGATCCAAGCAGGTGCGGGGGATGTCACTATATCCCCAGCAATGCTAAACACCCTCTTTCTTGG